GGTTATCATTTGAGATAGCAATGTGTCTGCTCAATAATGGATCTCCATTAGAGTTGGTAATGATCCTATGCATCATGGTGGATCCTAGATAACCCAGACGGTCATGCCAAAACATGTAAATTTTTTAATCAATGAACTTCTGGTTCATGACAGTATGTGATTAATTGTCTTTGTGTATGTATAAAAAAACCATTCGACAAACAACGTAACTTCTTCAATATACACTTCTGGGTATCATTGGAGGTAATGCATATATACTCCACATTTTCTGCACTTTTAGTTTCAATGTGGTATCTATTTAAACGTATGTCTTTAAAACTCAACAAATTTCGAGTAGATCGAGTAGAGTACAACGCATTCTGTAAGGACAATATTGTTCCATTTGGTAACATGATCTGGGCTTTCCCTGAGCCTTCAATTATACGGATTGGCCTGATATTGTCGTTACCTTTACTTTTGTAAGCATCAAGCTTGAGAAATACTTTTGATCTTGAAGTATTACATACGTGGTTACGCTGTCTGCAAGACAAATATCTCTGTCATTGCTCTTGTTTTGAGAATGACCATAGTTTTTATCCATACTTTCTAAGTAAGGAAATCTTAGTTAATTTATGTATAATAAAAGGAAATTGACATGCCACTTTTATTGATGCAAGCATTTAGACTAAAAGTTCAAAATAATAAGAGTATATTAAACAGAAATGATTCAATCGAACCGATACACTTTATTCCCTCTTTCCATAGTGAAGTCCAAGACATCTAGGTATGTTGTGTTCAACTGCCCTTATAAGTCACACACTGGATTAGGTATATCCTTTGGTTTAACCTGGTCGAGGAAATTGGTCTTGACACCCTTCTCCTTGAGGGAGGCTTGATATAGATCCACCAGATGTTTTGGGGTACGACAGGTACACACCTAATGCCCATTACCACCACACCTATGGCAGGCTCTTTCAGAGTTTCTAGGAGCATTGTTCATATGAGCTTTGCCTTTGTGGCGATTTAAATTTTTGAAGTTCGGGCCTGAATTATACCTTGGAATCTGGTTGTGAAACTGAACACCATGATTCTTGCCTTTCCCGTTCTACCAACCTCGTATGTGGCCAAGTCCTCGTTTGTAATTGTTGCCATGAGAAGATGTGTTGTTCATTTCAAGGGAAACAACATTCACTTCTGGGAATGGTGCAGATCCAGTAGGTCAGAACTAATGATTCTTCATCAGACGCTCATTATTTTGTTCAGCTACCAGGAGCACAGATATCAGTTGGTTGTATTTAGTCTTTTCTAGCATATCTTCCTCAGTGATGTTTTCCTCACAGAGTTTCATCTGGGAGCTAACTCTGAACATTACAGAATTGTACTCAGCCACTGACTTGAAATCCTGGATCCTCATGTGAGTCTACTTATAACGAGCCCTTGGAAGAATCACCGTTTTGTGGTGATTACATCTATTTCTCAGTGCCTTCCATAGGGTTAATGGATCTTCAACCGTCAGGTATTCGCTCTTTAGTCCTTTATCAAGGTGGCGACGGATAAAGATCATGGTCTTCGCCCGATCTTGAGAAGATGCATTGTTCTCCTCCTTAATTGTTTCTCCAAGATTCCCTACCTCCAGATGGATCTTAGCTGTAACATCCCACATCGCCCAGGGGTGTGGATCTTATAAGCCTTATATATATATATATTCCCATCTCTATCTAGCACGAGACCTTTTGGGAGTTCACTAGTTTCGGGTTCCATTGGAACTTCGAAGTTAAGCGAGTAGCGCTCGAGGTCAATCCCATGATGGGTGACCCACTGGGAAATTCTCGTGTGACTTCCTAGAAACAAAATCGTGAGGGCGTGGTTGAGGCCCAAAGCCGACAATATCGTGCTACGGTAGAATCGAGCCAGGTATGTGGTGGGGGCTTGAGCCGGGATGTGACATTGGCATCCACTACCCAGGTAAGGTAGTTCTTCCCAGTAATGTCCAGAGCAACAAAATCAAGTTTTGCTAAGTTCGCCATTTTCTTTTCTAAAAGAAAAATGAGATGTGTAAAAACTTTCAATAATATGTATGCTGGAAGGATGTAGTGTTAGAACTTCTAGTTCTTACAAATTTTTCATTTTGATCTTCAGGCCAAAATGATAAGCACTCGAAACTTCAGGCTCGAGATTTACATGATTAATGAGGAGGGCGACTGTACCGAACCATTCTCATTGAAGCAAGCATAGGATGGGTGATTATTCCGCACCACTTAAATAACAGGAAAATTTAAATATACAGAGCAGGGTAGGCAACTATACCGCACCACCTAAAATTGTAATAAAATTAAATCTATAGCTCAAGATAGGCGATGATACCGCACCATCTTGGATTGCAGTAAGATTAAATTTGCAGTTCAAGATAGGCGATTGTACCGCACCATCTTTGATTGCAGTAAAATTAACATAAATAAACACCTGGTTAGTAATAAGGAACTACACCAAACAAGAAATCAAAGATATATGTAATCGTTATATTGAGAACTAGAAGTAGGCATGGTGCTAGCAAATCTTCACAAGGGTATATCAGGAAGATGAGGCAGATGAGGAAGAAAAACAGTAAAATCCTTGAAGGAAGTATTTTTCGGTGAACGGAGATGAGAACTGGTTAGAAAGTCATGCTGATAACATGTTATAAATAAGTAAAAGTTAGAGAAATAACCTTTGCTAGGGACATGAGCGAAACTGGTGCAAAATATCACATTATAACTTTAGTAGCTATAACACAAAAAGATGACAGATAAAAGAGGGAGGGAGAGATGTTGATGTTATTGATCTTTTCTTTTCGCAGTGTGTTTTGATAGCACACGAAGCACTCTATTTATAGAGCAACTCCAAACAAACATAATAATTACATCTTGAAAAGCATAGCACACACTTTTCGAAAGTATCACACAAATACAATCATCATTCTTTACCCAAATCCACATTATTGTGTGGGCATTCATTCATCTACCAATATTTAAAACATCAATCATATTTTGTGGATGTTATTGCTATGTCATCCATATTTGATAGATATTGATGATATGACGTTGATGTGGTACCAATACATCAATATAACATTGTTATTATGAGATTGTTCAAAGGGAGTTTTAACGAAAAGCCTACGGTACTGTTTTCTTTAACGAAAAATCACATTTTTACACTAAAAAGTCAATCCTGGTACTATTCACTTTACCCTTTATTTTGTCCTTATCATTAAAAATCAAAGTTTTCAAGCCCTTTTCATTAGTTTTCCTTTGTTCAAATAGCTCCGTATGTAACTATTTTTATTTGATGTTTGAGCTTTTTAATTTCAATTAAATAACACTTGCACAACCCGCATCTTACCTCCCCACAAAATTCACTTCTGTGAGATTATGTTTGGGCCTTCCTTTTTTCAGACCGGCATTGTCCTTGTGCAATTACTCTTGGGCTTGCATACTGTAAAGCCTGCATTCACGTAAATTTCCTATATCTAAGAAAGTCATCCAGAAAATAAGTTAATAAAACATAAAGATATTACGTTCCAATCTCTCATTTTCATATTACATTGATTAAAATTTTATTAAAAAATCTGACCCTAAAAATTAAACTTTGATGGAAACCTGTTCGGGCCTAACATGATAACTTGGGCCAAAAGTAACAAAATGGGCCAAGATTCTTGTTCCAACGATTTTCCGTGGGTATCATGGACCGGCTAGGTTCCAGGAGTTGTCTAGTCGGTTTTTCGGTCAAGTCCTTTTGCGAAAATGATTGATTCGGATAAGGGCAAAGGTTGAATCCTTGTACCACCAGGGGTGTTAAAAGCTGAAGGCATTGAAAATCAGGGAATGAATCTGGTTCATTATGGAGGTGGGTTCAAAGTCCCAATTGAATTAGGACTAGCCGAGTCCTAGTTAGATCAGGATAAGGAGTCCGAGTCCGGGTATGGTTCTAACTCGGTTAGGAGCAAGTTCATTACTATAAATAGAAAAGGGATCACACCATTCAAAGCCTCTCTAATTCAACACACAAACTGCCCTGCGCAAACTCTCGCTCTACGCGAAACCTCTCAACAACCTTGAGATTTTTATTTTCCTTTTTCGCCAACACATCTTTAGTTTGGATAAACAGCACTGTGAAGGCAACCGATGACATCTTCAGTTTGGATAAACAGCACTGTTGCCGTAGAATCAGCCGACCACGGAGCACCTTCAGTTTGGATAAACAACACTGCATCGAGGCCGACTGGTTATCTATCTAAGTCTCGGTCAAGAAGGATTTTCGAATCCTTATTGGCACAGGTCATCTCATTAGCCTTCTCGGTGAAGTGAAGTGTTACAGGTTACTACATTCAGCACATTGAAAGCCGAATTTGATATTGAACTTCGCAAAACTAGCAGCGTTGTCTTCGGCTCTAGAACCTGAAAACCGAGACGTGTTCCTTCTTCGGTCGTAGTCGCAAGATCAAGAAGTCAATATCGCGCTCAACGCAACATCAACACATTTTACTCCTTGGCCGACGAGTTAACACGCCCCACACACAACCAAAGGACGTAGTTAGCTTATTAATTACTCGACATGTGCGCTACATAGGCTTGGTAGTTTTTAGGGTCAACAAAACTTAATTTCTCTATTTTATAAAATTTTAATCTAACAATTAAGATGACTAAAGGCCGAACCAAATTGACCCTAAAAACTATATTCAAGGTTATGTGATTGGAAGGTAATTTAGATACGTGTGATAAGATTCCTAAGTGTAGACACATTAGTAAGAGCGAATTTCTTATGCAGCGACTTTGAATTTTCTTTTTGTAATTCAAATTATTTTATTAATCAATAAAGAAAAGAAGAAGACAAAAATAATAAAACTTTCATAATGTCAAGATTGTCTTCCTCTCATTAGAATTTCAAAAGAAAACGCGTGATGTCACGTAGAGGCAAGGCAATCAATGGAAAAAAACTTGGAAATTCATGTTTGGTGTCTACCTTCTAGAAGATATAAAAGTAATCCCTTTTGATAAAACAGCCCAATGGACATCCTGGTCTCGACACAGCTTTCCCTTGATTCCCTTCTCTTATAAGATCAGCCCGTTCCTATTCCAATCACCAGACCAGACCACTCACAAGATCGCGGGATTTCATCGCGCTCAAAACTCACCTGCAGAAGCAGAGATGTCGAAGGTCGAAGAACCGGCTATGGGAGTTCCAGTATACACGGTACAGAATCCGTACCAAGCCGGAATGATCCCGCCAAACGCTGTCTACGGCGACCCCAAGGGCGTCCCTATCCACCAGACCATTTACAGAGACACTCCCGCTCCCTTCAACTGCGCTTACTGCGGCGATACCGGACTAACCCAAGTCAAGTAAATTACAAATTTTGATCCTTTTGGGGATTTGGGATTTTGGGATTGATGTTATTATTCTTGATTGTTTGAAGTTTGGAACTTGAGATTGGTTTGTTGAATTGACAGATCAAAGCCGAGTGCGGCAGCTGTTGTGGCTTGTATGATGCCTATGATGCTTGGATGTTGTTTTCTTCTGCCTTCCTGTGACTGCCTCTGGCATAAGTATCATTACTGCCCAAACTGCCAAGAGAAGGTAACATCACTCTCTATATTCAGGAGAATCAGAAACCGTTTTGGGAAATGCTTCTGTAGGAATCACTTTTGCTAGACGTGCTTTTATTAGAAACATGTTAGAATATTTTACTCATAAGGACCTCTGCTAGGTGAGATTTTCTGGTAGAGCAGTGGCGCTTCTCCTGAAAACGCTTCTATGAACCATAAGCACTTTTAATTTTTGTACCAAACACAGTTGAAAACTCTTTTAGCCTATTTAGAAGCAGTTGTAAACAGGCCCTATGACTACTCTGTGTACACTCAATTATTTTTGTTTTCCTTATCATTGTTGCTTAGACATTTAACATGGATTTGTATTGTAGGTTGCTGATTTTGAGAAGTCGGACCCTTGTCTTGTTGTGGATCCTCCAAGCTGGACAGAGCGTAGCTATGCACTGCCTGCGTGATGATCTGTATTTCACACTTTGTATGCGGCTTCTTCTCTGTTTATTATACATTTTAAGATTTGTTAGTACATATATATTAGTTTTAAGATGTTGTGTTGAACCATATACGAGTTTGGAAAAATGGTGGCTTGGCTGCATAATAATACGGAGTGATAGTATTTTTCAGTATGTTCAAGCTTTTAATAAAATGCATTTACCAATCTCAAACGTGCATTTGATTGTATTGCAAGTACCTACGCTTTAGATGTTGCAAATGCACCTATATACACTATGTGAGAGTTGTGAGCTGTTTGAGGGGCCATGCTATACTGGGTTGATCAAATAAGGAATCAGTATTTAGTTATCTGGTTCCTAACCAAAGCATGGACACCTTTAAAAGTGTGGAATTACTTTTAACATTGGGCACCCTTTAGACGTGCATATGCTAATTTCATACGTATGTGCGATTGTACTGCAAATGTTTTTGTGGGAGTTGTGAGTTGTTTGAGGGGGCATGCTAGGTTCATCAATAAGGTTCCGAAATTTCCGTCATTAGGTTCCTAATCAAAAGTTTGGATGAAAACCCTTTTCCAGTGTGGTGCTTGTTTTGGTCTAGAACCAGGCCTCTGAGGTCTACTGTTGAGGGTCTAGTTCTCAGCAAGGTTCTGTTACACTTTTTGTTCAACCGTGTCGGCTCTCGTTTTTCAAAATGGTTAGGTTCCTCTTCGTATGAACTCTTTCAAACTGTTCTCTAGATTGGACGAGAAAATTTTAGTTGGGACTTATAGAATTGTTTGAAATTAGGCATACATGAAAAGCAATATTGTTTTTGGGATTTAGATTGCAATCATCATGAGTAGTGTCTAGTTCACGTTTGGATGCAATTTGTGATGCTGGATTATGTGAAACTTCCTGCCTCGTTCTGATGATTTGACTGCTGGATAAGCTATATTACCAAATTATGCAGCACCTTGTGCCAAAAAGATTCTCAATCATCAAAAGATATGTCTTGTTATGGCGTGAGTTCTGAATGTACATCAGTTGTGATTCAAGTGTTTATCATTTTTGCCCATGAATGTCTTGTTGAAACTTGCGTTTCATATCTTCATTGCAAACCGCCTGACAAAAGGGATTGCACTTGCAGGCATGCAGTGTAGGTGCTTAAACCCAATGAAATGTGTGGATGAACTTAGGGGCCGATAACATTTCGTTTTCAGTTAAAAAAAAAATGAAAATTCAAAACAAAATGGTTATCAAACGGTCCCTTAGAGTTTTAGGAAATATGACACACCCCGACCCGGGATGTCTACTAGGACTCCGAATCAAGCTGTGCTGGCCGATAGTTGGAAGGTGATGAAGCCATAAAGTGCACGTGATGTTATAGCATAAGTACAGTACAGTAAAGTAGGGTGAGAATTATATTATCGATGGTAATCATTTACACCAAGATTTGCCAATATTCCTCGTCGGTACAAAAACTCTGCTACTAGAACCTAGAGGGGCGCAAAAACAAGGGTGAGTGAGCCTGAAAATAAAGTTTTAATGAAAACCTTTTGAAAACGTTATAATCCCTCGCCGTAAAACTTGTATAGTTTCCAGAAAATAATACTACGTATATACATACGAAAACCAATGCACAAGGTCAGTAAAAACTGAAGTATGCCATGTCATACGTTTCAGCACTAAAAGATGTAAGTCAGGTGAAATCAATATAAAATAATATGCCAGTCGGAGCCACCTAATGTGACCTGTATGATTGGACCTATAGCTCATCAATACATGCTAGCACACCAGTCGGAACCACCTATTGTGGTCTATACGACAGGGCTGGGTGTAAATATATATGCTTAAGTGCTACGATCATGTGAAGGCTGTGCGAATAATCGCGGGTCACCAACGAGTCGGAATCACCTATTGTGGTTTGTACGACAAGGCTGGCACCAAACTTGGATCCAAGGTGAGCGTGCGGTGCGGGAGGTGAAGATCATGTGAAGGATTATACCCTGGCCTCGGGCGGGAGCACTAACACCAGGGTGCAGCAATGATGAGCTCTAAATGCATCCATGCATAACAATGTGCAATGCAACCAATATCATCACAATATACTCACCTAGAGCTGACCTGAACCTTCGCGGCATCGTTCAATATAAACATAATTCATACTAATGCAACATTTAAAGTATCACACATTTTAGACATGAAGTGCACAAATCAATTCACGAACATTTGTGGAAGCTATCATTTATGCGCACGCGCGAGCACACACACACACTAACTATAAAAAGGAAAAAACCCATTCACCTGGAGTCCGCGCTACAACTCTCTAGCACGAATATCGAGACATCACAAACGATCGACGCCTAGAACAATGATCAAATCACGTCTCAGACTTCTTATCAATAAAATACGTAACTTACATATCCTATTCGGGAAGATCCTTACATCAAATTCCCGATCCGTGAGTTTCTTATATCCTTAAATATTACGTACTATAACGTATCAAGGTTTGGTGACGATCCAACGGTCAGATCGTCGATTACTATAATAATCAAGTGGCAGACCTTAATGGAACTAGGTTCAAACGACGAAAATTCATCTATCAGACTTCACATACGGAATTGGAGAATTGGAGAATCAAATTTAGCCTAGGAAGGTCAAGGGATGCCTCGGCCCACATGCCGCCGTACACGGCGGTCGGCCGCCCCGACTCGTCGGAAAAAAATCAACTATTTCTAAAAATTACCAAATTTTACAGGAATGTATCTCAATGAGGGGAGTAATTTTCATACCTATGACTAAGGCCAATTTGGCCGGGAAAAGCTCCAATTTCCCTCAAACCCGCCAGAACCTTAGAATTTGGGTGTTCTTCAATCCGTCCTTAAGTCGAACTCCGACGCCTCAACCAATGCATGGGCTTTGTTCCTGACCTCAAGGAGAATCGACCCATGATGGTGATCGACTGAATTTGATTCGGGAACAGCGGAATTGCCGTTGTATACATCGGAAACCCTACAAGCTCACTCTTTGACAAAACGAAAACCAAAACCCATCAAATTTGGGTGAAGATACAAGCCAGAAGGTTACCAAGTTGTATGCAAATGATAGATGGAGGTGGTTCACCGAAAAAGCACTGTGAAAGGCGTCGGAAAGGTTGCGGAAAACCGGGTCAGAGAACGAGTCTCAGTTGTGAACGGGTTAGGGTCCGGGTTGACTAAACCTTCCATCCCTCCTTTCTCTTCCTTCTCTTCCTTCTGATTGGCCAGTCTCTTCTTTCTCCTCTTCTAAATGGGCGTCCCGCCCCTCATTTCTCTCCTTTATCTCTTCTCCCCAATCGTCCATTTCTTCTTTCTTTAAATCTGGGCCACACACGTGGCTTTCCAGATTAAGCTCCAAAAATCTAGAGCTTTTTAGAAAATAACCAATTTACTAAAATGCCCCCAACTTTAAACGTTAATATCTCCTTCGTTATAACTCCAAATCACATTCCGTTTTCACCCACGCATTCATAGCGACGAGTACTACTAGGATATGCCAAGAAAACAAGTCTTACGTGACACAACACGGCAGTTAGCAAAATTCAACACTTTGCCTCAAAGGGCATTTTCGTAAATTCACTTATTAAAATTATATAAACAGTAAAATTGGGAACGGGTTGTTACAAAATATTTTACGTGGGAACTACGAAAATGTTGCATGACCTTTGGATGTGATTGTACTGTTTATTAGGTCTCAGAACTATTTTTTTTATTGATTTTTAAAGTTGAAAAAATAGAAAAATAATATAAATCAATAGTGTGGCCCTCAAAGATATTTGTAGGTGTCGAAAGCCTTTGGAACGTCCTAAATTAATTTTAGAAAACATGTGGTGCGACTAAAATGACTCAAATTTTGGCTTATAATGAATCTTGTAAAAGAACTCAATATCGATTGGAAAACGTGGGTTATACAGTTTTTATGAAAATTTTGAAATTTTTAGTTTTAGGAAATATTTTGTGATGGAATTAACGTAAACGTTGCAAAAGCTTTTGGATATGATTTTATCCTTTATTAGGTCCCAAAACTATTTTTCATGGATTTTTAAAGTTGAAAAATAGAAAAATAATATAAACTAATAGCGAGGCCCCTAAAGAGATTTGTAAGTGTCGAAAATCTTTGGAATGTCCTAAATTAATTTTAGAAAACATGTGGTGCAACTAGAATGACTCAAATTTTGGCTTATAATGAATATTGTATAAGTTCTCAAAATCGATTAGAAAACGTGGGTTACTCACAATTTTTGTGAAAATTTTGAAATTTTTAGTTTTAGAAAATATTTTGTTTGGGAATTAACGAAAACGCTGCAAGATCTTGGATGTGATTTTATCCTTTTTTAGGTCTCGAAACTATTTTCATTGATTTTTAAAGTTGAAAAATAGAAAAAAATAAGGAAAACTAATAGCGGAGCCCCCAAAGAGATTTGTAGGTGTCTGAAATTTTGAGAATATCCTAAATTAATGTTAGGAAACATGTGGCGCGAATAGAATGACTCTAACTTTGACTTATACAAATGTTGAGTTCTCAAAATCGATTGGAAAACTGTGGGTTTATAACTCACAACTTTTCTGAAAAATTTTGACCTTTTAGCTTTAGGAAAAATTTTGTGTCGGAGTTAAGACAAATGTTGCAAGACCCTTGGACATGATTCTAATGTTTATTAGGTCTCGAAACTATTTTTTATTGATTTTTAAAATTGAAAAATAGAAAAAAAAATCTTTAAATTTGGGTTTTAAATCGTTGATTTCACATATTTAAATATGAATTATAGTTGAACTCAAAAAAAAAAAAAGAATTATAATATATTTTGCAAGGAAAAATATATGTTGAAGAACATGATTATGATAGTTTGTTGTTATGGTAAGAGAAATAAAAGAAAAATTAACAAAAAATAAAAAAAAATCGAACAGGGGTGGATCAATATAAAGCTAGTGACTCCCCCGAGAGGATTGCTATCAAAGTATCGATCGTATAATTTTCTATTGTTTTTCCTTTTTTCTTTTTCCATTTTTTTTTCTACTTACTTTATTTAGTTTCAAATACCCTTAGATTTAGATTTATATCCTTGTTTTCGAATTTTTTGACATGGATTATAATAAGGTTTTCGCTAAAAATGCATTTTGTAGAACATGAAGATGATAGTTTGGTCTGTACGG